CTGGGCCACCCAGACACCCCAAGACTTTGAAAGCCCCACCATCAATGTTATAATGATTTGATTTCAGTAGCTATACATGTCGTAAATAAGAAAAGAAAATTCATTTCTTACATATGACCAGATTTTACTCTTTCCATTGTTCTTAGTTCATTCTTAAAGTTCCAGATTTTCAGGGCGCCTGGGTGGCGCAGTCGGTTAAGCGTCCGACTTCAGCCAGGTCATGATCTCGCGGTCCGTGAGTTCGAGCCCCGCGTCAGGCTCTGGGCTGATGGCTCAGAGCCTGGAGCCTGTTTCCGATTCTGTGTCTCCCTCTCTCTCTGCCCCTCCCCCGTTCATGCTCTGTCTCTCTCTGTCCCACAAATAAAATAAAAACGTTGAAAAAAAAAAAAAAGTTCCAGATTTTCCTCTGGTAACATTTCTTTTCAGTCTGAAGAACTTTCTTCAGGATTTCTTTTAAGGTAGGTCCACTTAACAGTGAATTCTGTTTTCCTTCACTGGAGAAAGTCTTTATTTTACCATAATCTCAGTAGGGAATTTTCATTGGCTGTGGTTTTCAGGATTGAAAACTAATTTTTCCCCCTTAGCATTTTAAAAAGGTAACAGGAGAAGATCATGTAGAGTCTATAGGCCATTGTATGGACTTTGAGAAAAATGGGAAACTACTGAAAGCATTTATGTGACATGATCTGACCTGTGTTGCTCTTGTTTTTTTATTTTTTTATTTTTTAGATGTTTTTTAATGTTCTTTATTTTTGAGAGAGAAAAACAGAGTGTGAGTCAGGGAGGGGCAGAGAGAGAGGGAGACACAGAATCCGAAGCAGACTCCAGGCTCTGAGCTGTCAGTGCAAAGCCAGACACGGGGCTCGAACTCATGGAGTGCAATATCATGACCTGAGCTGTAGTCTGATGCTTAACAGAGCCACCCGGGCACCCCTGACCTATGTTTTAAAGAATCACATGGGCTGCTTGTCATGGACTGAATGTGTGCCCTCCAAAATTCATTTGTTGAAACTCCACCCCCTAATGTGATGATTGTAGGAGGTGGAGCTCTGGAGAGGTAATTAGGATTAGGTGAGGTCATGAGAGTGGAGCCCTGAATGGGATTAGTGACTTTACAGGAGTCCTGCCTGACAGAGCTTGCTCTTCTCTGCTCTCTGCCACATGAAGATGCACTGAGAAGGTGGCAGTCTGCAGTCTGGGAGGAATACTCACCAGAACCCAACCGTGCCGGCACTCTGATCTCAGACTTCCAGCCTTGAAGACTGTGAGAATTAAATTTCTGTTGTTTGTAAGCCACCTGGTCAACGGTACTTGATACAGCAGCCCAAAGTGAGGAGGACACTGCTGTATTAACAAGGAACTGTAGAGGTGCCTGGGTGGTTCAGTTAAGCACCTGATTCTTGATTTTGGCTCAGTCATGATCTCGAGGTTCGTGAGTTTGAGCCCCGCAACACACTCTGCACTGAGAGTGCAGAACCTGCTTGGGATTCTGTCTTCCTCTCTCTCTCTGCCCCTCCCCTGCCCCCTCTCTACCGCTCTCTCTCCCAAAAATAAATAAATAAACATTGTTTTAAAAAGCTGATTGGCTGACCCAGCTCTTAAAAAAAAAATAGAAGAAGAAGAAGAAGAAGAAGAAGAAGAAGAAGAAGAAGAAGGAGGAGAAGGAGGAGGAGGAGGAAGTATAGAAGGACAAGCCAAGGGACCCTTAGAAGACTCTCAGAGTAATTCATCTGAGAGATGAGGGGGGCTTGACCAGGGAGGTATAGTGAAGATGGTAGGAGTGGTCAGATTATGGATCAATTTTAAAGATAGGGCCACCTGGAGTTTTTGGTGGATTAGATGTCAACAGTGAGAGAAAAAATAAGAATCAAAAATAACTCTTGAGTTATGACCAGAGACTGAAAGAATGGAGCTGTTAGAAAGTAAAAAAAAGCAAAAGATGGTGTGGGGAGCATGTTGGAGGTGAGTTCAGAAAGTGAAAGATTAGAAGGTCGGTATTGGTCACATTAAAGTGGAATCCGGACCCTCTAGAATGCAGTATCCCCAAATGGCAGGAGAATATCCATACAAGTGTCTCTGTTCCAGGACTTGTCTACATGACCCAGTAGTAAAAGAAGATACACGGTGAAGTTCCTATTTATCCTCAGGAGCCAGCAGCCAAGCACCCCCCAGAGGTCTCTTCCTCCATTTGCTCACTTCCATCAAATGACAGACCTTGCTAAAACAAGTCAGACTGTGTCCTTGAGTCTCTGAAAACTGCAGTGTCTCAGGAAGTTTGTGTTCAGGTCCCCCTGCAGTCCCAGGCACCGTGTCACTCACAGCACAGAAGTACTCGGCCGCGTCGCTGCCAAGGGCTGGGGATTTCCTCAGGTGGAAGGAGTTTTCATTCCTCCTAAATTCAGCCTCGAAACCGTTGAGGCCTTTAACCAGGATGTCCCCTGATATGTACTTGAGGAGAAGCTGGAGTCCTTGGTTGGGGTACTGCACGTACCAGAAGACATAAATCGTTCCACTAGAGGAATAGTTGCACTTCAGCTCCAGACGGGCTCCTTCAGAGACCAACACCTGGGCATCAGGCTGAGTCACTGACTGGGCTCCCGTTCCTCCTGAAACATCAATGCTGAGTCAGTGAGACCAGGACAGACGTACTTAAAATGAGACAGTGTCTCCCTGCAGATTCCAGTCAGAACAGTGTTTCTGACATGGAGGCAGGAGCGTAAAATACAGTGTTACTTACTCACTGTGAAGAGCATTCCAAACAGCAGGATGGTCACTGAGCACATAGCTAGGCGGTGAGGAAGCTGACGGCTGTGTTCTGGAAGATTTCCCCTGAGGAGCAGGAAGAAGCCTGCCGGATTGCACTGAGTCTTTGTAACAAGGAAAATTTGAGTTTCCAGAAATCCCCGTTCAAAGGCTAAGTTCTAGAGATAGTAAGAGACGCTTCCTTGACAATGACTGCTCCTGGTGCCTTAGCCTACTCAGAATGTGTGCCTCTGTGAGCTGTAAGGTAAAGAAGCTCACAGAAGTGAGGTAGAATTTTTTTTTTTTTTTAGAAGAGTCTCTTCCAGTTTACACAATATCACCCTCTGGGGGTCAAATATGGTAACAAATTGTGTCAAGGTTTTTGTGCCTGTCTTTTTCCTGCTCCTATTTAGGCTTGAATGAATTTCTTAGCATTATAATCTGATGAGAGTGTGTTTAAGGGGCTGCTTACTAAGAGTCTGTTTTCATCTTAAGAAGTAAGTACTAGGGGGGCCTGGGTGGCTCAGTCGGTTTAGCGGCCGACTTCGGCTCAGGTCATGATCTTGCGGTCCGTGAGTTCGAGCCCCTCATCGGGCTCTGTGCTGACAGCTCACAGCCTGGAGCCTGTTTCGGATTCTGTGTCTCCCTCTCTCTGACCCTCCCCCGTTCATTGTCTGTCTCTCTCTGTCTCAAAAATAAATAAACGTTAAAAAAAAAAAAAAGAAGTAAGTACTATTATTTGGCCAAATGAAGTAAATAGTATTACCATCCTCATTTTATAAATGAGAAAACTGAAATGTGGAAGGAAGTTTGTAATTTCTCCAAGGTCACAGTAAGTGACAACTGGAATTTGTCCCATTAGAATGATTCAAGAATCCGTGTTATTAACCACTGATAATTTACTACTAATGTCCCTTAGAGTAGACATTATCCTAACTTACTGACGGGAAATCAAATCTTTACGAAGTTAAATACTTTGTCCGAGGACAACGTAAGAATTGGAGTCTAATTCTGTTATACACCAAGCCCAGCTCCTCACCCACTATATTATTTATGATATAGGACTCCCTTTAAATAGTAGATATAATTTCACCAAGACACTCAGAGCAATACTCTGAGAAAAGCAATACTCAGAGAAAAGAATAGAAACTAAGGGAAATTCCCAAGGAACCCAACACCAAAGAGAGGGCAGTGGAAATCGTACCAACGAAACCTCAAAGAGTAGCCTGGAGAAGTAAGTGACAAGTCAGAAATGACTGGTGTCCGGAAAGAGAAGGGAAAAGGACTTTTAAGAACAAAGGGACATTCAACAGAGCAATGCTGAAGACTTTGAAAGCCCCACCGTCAATAATGATTTGATTTCACTACTCCTATGTTTGTCACAACTTTTAGCAAGCGTGAATTGAATTTTGGCAAAATTATTTTCTGCATAGATTAACACGATCATGTGATTTTCTTCTTTAGCCTGTTAGGATGGTAGATGGCATCTTTAAGTTCCAAACATTGAAGCAGAGCAGTCTTGCATCCCTGGGAAAAATCCATTCGCGTTTGGTATTATTCTTTTTGTATACTGATGAATCTACTCGCCAATATTCTGTTAAATTTTGTGCCTATAGTCATTCATGAGGGAAATTTCTCTGCAGTTTTCTGTATGTCCTTTGTCTGATTTTGGTACTGGAGTAATACTAGGTTCATAAAAGGAGTTAGCAATTACTCTCTATTTTCTGGAAGAACTTGTTTAAAATTCATGCCAATTCTTCACATTTTTAATAGAATTCTCACAATTAAGCCATCTGAGTCTGGAGATTCTTTTAAAATTATTTAACATTGAACTTTCCACAGACGTGGTGCCTTCAGCTTTCTCTGACTCCTGCCCTAAAGAGAGATAAGGAAGGGTTGCTCCTGGAGCTCCACAGCAAGGTTTGGGGACAGGTCGCAGGTGCTCTGAGAGCACTGTGCCCCTGTGCAGAAATAGACTCCTGAATCTGCAGTCTGGGTGGCCACCATGTGCAGCAAACTGTTCTTTCTAGTGTCTCCAAACCAAGCTGTCAGTCTTTCCTGCTTCACATCTCCACTCTTAACTAAGGTGATCAAGAGGATGGGACTGCCCCCAGGCCTCTGCTTATACCAATGTAAGCTGTTTAAAGTCCTTGAGGAATTGCAGTAAATGGTGAAGTTCTCTCCTTCTTGTAGAAGCAGGAATTGAGGAATTTGCTTTATCTCTTGTCCGTTCACTTCTGCTAAAAACAAACAAACAAACAAACAAACAAAAAACCAATGGGAGGCATCAGAGAAAATCTGATTAGATTTCTATTCTCTGAGCTACACTCTTCTTGTCTAATTTTCTCCTTCTTTCCCTGTCTCCCTCCCCAAGTGCCTCTAACTTTCTTCTTTTTTAGCTCCCCCTCTCCAGTTTTTTTTGCTCTCCATCAGAAAAATCTCATTCCTGCAGATGGTATTCCACTATGCTGGGCTCTCTGGAAGCAATCAAGGAAATCTCAAACTCACGTGCTATTTGCATCCACAAGATCAACACTGGTACTGTAAGTAACATCTCCCTCTTCTTCCTCTTGGGAAAGAATGACTGAATCTGGTTGCTCCTAAATGTGTTTCCCTTGTTACAAGAGTCTCCCAGACCCAAAGAAATGTCTTGTACCACTACACTGCCTTTTGGAAAGAAAGGGGAAAGAAGTGACTGCAATTTCAGGTAGCCAATCAGACTATTTTTCTCAATCACCTTCAGAAGAGGGTCTATGATTGCAAATGCTGCCTCCTGGGGGCCAGACTCAAAACGTGCCGATTTTATAACCGATTCCTTATACACTTGTTTGTTTTTTGAGAGAGAGAGAGGGTACACATGAGCGAAGGGGAGGAGAGAGAAAGAGAGAGAGAGAGAGAGACGCAGGGCTTGGGTTTTTACCGGAAGCCAGGCTCTAGTTCACCCGATGCGGGACTTGAACTCAGGAACCCCTGAGATGAGTGGCAGTCAGATGCTTAACCCACTGAGCCACCCAGGCCCCCTACACTGTTTTCTAATTCAAATGGTGCCTATATTTGTCAAGACTTGGGGAAAAAAGTTTACTGTTGCTGATACTGTTCAGGGAGGAATACTTTGTTTTTAAAAAAAAAAATGGGTTCTGTGATTTAAAACTAGGAAGCCAACAGGTAATAAAACTTCCATTTGGCATTCCCAGTTTCATCCAGAAACAAGTAGCATTTGTCTGTGCATGAACAAATGGAACATACTAGGTCACAGATATTTAAATAAATGTGGGAAAAGACTCATAATTTATTGTTAGGTCACCCATGATCTCAAAGTAGAAGATAAAAAGTACCTATTTCTTTGTCATCATACAGATTACCCTGGTTATTAATTACCAGTTTAGAGGTCATCTCTACTGTCCCAATGTGTTAATTGTTCACATATCAGTGATTTTTTAAAAAATGAACATAATTTGAAAGAAGTGGACTTATCTATCACATATGAATTTCTCTAAGAAGGCTTCCTTAAAACACTTGGGTAGAATAGCTCCCCACGGCTCCAAAGATTTTCAATCTCACTTACCACAGTACTTATTGCCCTGTGTGATAATGATCTGTTAATTGTCTGAGCTGCCTCATATTCATCTACCTTGAGGGTGTGTACTATATATCATCCTTAACAATTGCGCTGACCTATATGGTAGCTACTTGCCACATGAGGCTTCTTAAAGTAATTAAAATTAAATAAAATTTAAAATTTAGTGTGTCAGGGTGGCTCAGTCAGATAAGTAAAAATAAAAAAAAAAAGAAGTAAAAATAAAATAAAATTTAGTTTGTCAGTTATATTAGCTACGCTTCAAGTTCTCGATAGCCACGTAGGGCTAGTGGCTAGTGGACAGTGTGAATATAGGTATTTCTGCTACCTCAGAAAGTTCTGTTGGACAGTGCCCCTTTTGAATGTGGGGTCTATGAAAACAAGGAATTTTGTCTGTTTTGGTCACTACCGTATCACAAGTAAAGTCCCTGACGTGTGGTAGTCACTTAATCAATGTTTGTCTTTGTTCATCACCATGTTCCCACAAACTATTCTAATACCTGGCAAACAGTGGGTAATCAAATATTTGTTAAATGATAAATAAATGTGTGTGCTTGCATATACCCTTTGGGAATGTAGACAGTCAAGGGTTGGTTGTAGCTGCGTACACATGTTACTTTAGGGAGAAACCACATTCGTTTTCTAGGTCTACCATAACAAATTACCACAAACGTGGTGGCTCAGAATAACAAAAACTTATTTTCTAACAGTGCTGGAGGCCAGGAGTATGTAATCAAGGTGTCAGCAGGGCAATGCTCCCTTTGAGTGCTCAGGGGTTGGATCCTTCCCTGCCTCTTCCAGCTCCTGATGCCTCCAGGCATCCCTTGGCTTGTAGCTGCATCTCTCCAAACTCTACCTCTAGCCTGAGTGCCTCACAGGCCTTCTCCTCTGTGTGTCTCTCAAAGACATTTGTCATTGGATTTATGACCTGCCTGGATAATCCAGGATGATCTTATATTGCTATTCTTAATTTAATTACTTTTGCGAAGGCTCTTTGTTGGGTAAGGTCACATTCACAGTTTCCGAGGATTAAGAAGTGGACTTCTCTTTGGGAGGTTCATGGTTTAATCCACTATAGGAGCTCTAATGTCTTTGAAGTATTGCCATGTAGATGTTTTAATAGCAGAAATCTCAACACTTCAATTTAGAGTTAAAAGTGGATCTGAATTTGAATTAAAGCATAATAGGGAAACAGAACATGTTCTGTTTTAGCAGTTTCAGGATGAGCTAGAAAATGAAAATCCCATGAGTTAAGATAAATGTTTTGGACATACACGCCATTGGGATCCTCTTTCCTTCCCAGGAATGTTGGTTCGGGGCCCCCAAATGAAGGCAAAACCAGTGCTGTGATAATGAAGTCTCCTTCCCATGCCAAAAGAGCAAGGAGTCTGGAAGGGGCACCTGTGGAAACTTGAATCATTGTGTCACTTCTGGGCAGAACAAGGGCAGGGCTGCAGTGCACACGGAAGCCTAACCTGGAGCGAGAACGTCTGGCCCGGGAGAAATCTGCTCTTCTCCAACACACACCGTACTCTCTGTTGTAAACTGTCTCTGGGCCCCACGGCGTGACGTAGAAATTTGCTAAATGAAGAGAAGAAGGAATTGGTTTGAGGAGTAGAAGGAATCTCTCCCCTCCCAGTAGGAAATGCTTGCACTGAATATAAATATAAGACAGCTCAAAGTAGCAAATATTTTTGTTAAAATAATCACGAGGGAGTACAGATTCAAGAATATTTATACTAAAATGCTATGTGTTATCCTATGAGATTTCAGATAAGAGGTAAACAATGCTGTCTGAACTGGACGAGTTGGATGAGTAGACATTTTACAATGGGGAAGGTATATTCCGGGCAAAGGGGGTGCATCTGCAAGGGCACAGATTTAAGAAAGAGTTCAGTGTGTGCACAAGTGGTTAGAATTTTTAAATAGTAGATACGCATCTGTGGCATGTAATGAAAAGGGGTGGGAGGTGAACATAGAAGATAACTTAAGAGGGGCACCTGGGTGGCTCAGTCGGTTAAGCGTCCAACTCTTGATTTTGACTCAGGTGACAGCATGGAGCCTGCTTGGGATTCTCTCTCTCCTTCTCCCCGCCCTGCCCCCACTCATTTGTGTGCTCACAGGTACGTGCTCTCTCTCTCTCTCAAAATAAATAAGCTTAAAAAAAAAAAGAAGATAACTTAGGGGGGAAACGTAAATGGACTCATATCTTTTAATATAGAATTAATCTTTACAACTTCTAATGGTTCCTCATTACCCAAAGATTAGCAAGAAGTGATCTGATCAAATATATATATTTTATAATAATTCTAGTGGCTACGTAGAAGTTAGATCCCAAGGAGTAGAGACTAGAGGCAACAGACAATTAAGAGGCCATAAAATCATCCAAGGAATGTGTTTATTCCATTCGCTTTTTGGTTAGATGCCCCCCCCCCCCGCCACTGTCTGTTCTTCCTGAATTCCATGCTCCCCTTACATAATGAATCTGAGCTGGCTTTGTGACTCACTTTAACAAACAGAATGCCACAGAAGGAACATCGTGGCAGTTCTAGGACTAAATGTTAAGTTCGCTTGGCAGTTTCCACCTTTGTGATTTTTTTTAAAAAGTTTATTTATTTTTGAGAGAGAGACAGAGCACAAGCAGGGAAGGGGCAGAGATAGAGGGAGCCACAGAATCCGAAGCAGGCTCCAGGCTCTGAGTTGTCAGCACAGAGCCCAATGCCTGGGCTTGAACCCAAAAATCACGAGATCATGACCTGAGCCGAAGTCGGATGCTTAACTGACTAAGCCACCCAGGCACCCCGCCACTTTTGTGAGTTTGAAAACCCTGATCCACCGCATAAGATATAATATACAGCTTCCCTTCTGGAAAGACCACTCCAGAGGTCATGTGGGGAAGAACAGTCTCTGAGAACACAGCAAATGAGAGACGAGCCTTGCCATCCCGGTGTTCCAGCTGAGGCCAGCCTTCCAGGCATTCTCGCTAAGGCTCCAGACGTTTAAGCAAGCAGTTTGGGGGTGTGCCAGTCCAGTGGAGCCCCTGGACGCCACATGGAGCAGAAGTATCATGAGATAGTAAAACGGTAGCTGTTTAAAAGCTGCTTAAAAGTTTTGGGGTGGTTTATTCTGCAGCAAACTGCTATGGCACTGAAGTCCTTTGAAGAGTCTTGTTGAGGACTTGGGAGAAATTGGCAAGAATTAAAATGTGTTTTTCCTCTATCTGATTTCTGATGGTTTCTAACAGTTCCACCTGGAACATCTGCCTATTTCACCGAACTTCTTTTCAAATAGGACCCCAGCGCTCCCGCTCTGGCACAGAAGGCATGGTGACAATGCTTGGGTGTGATGTGAGCCCTGGGCCTCCACAGCACAGGAGCAGGTGGCTGATTGCTCACGCTGGGGCCCTACAATAAACAGGAAGATGTAAGACTATCTTGTTCAATGTGATTTTTATACTTCACTTGTTCTTCTCATTCCATTTACTAAACTCTAAAACACAAACAAAAGACGCCCCCACACTGTGGAGCTATTTACAAGAGCATGCCTGTATCTCTGTGAATAATCAAAATTTGACAGACCATTTTCAATGTCAGATCAATTTTAGCACTCAGAGACTAAGAATTGTGGTTCATATTTCCTTGGTTGCACTTTTGTAAAGGTATAGATATTTTTTTGGTAAGGAGTCTGCATTCCAGATTTACATTCCCCCCATGCTTTTAACAGTAGATTTTCCAAATTATGTGCCGCTGTATCCAGGAATTGGCCACATGTGTGGAAAGAGCTTTATCCCCTCGCATCCAAAGGCAAGCAAGGGGCCCAGAGAAGCTGGAGTCATGGACCAGTGTCAAGTGGCATTCTGTCCGGAAGCGCTTATTCAAATGCAACCGATTTCTCTCTGTCCTGTTACATGAAAAATCTGTGAAGCATTGTGTTGCGGTAATGCGCGAACGAACCAAACATTGTCCT